CTGCTGTGGAAGTGACACAGCCCAGCACACAGCTCACCATGTCCCAGGGTCCCCATGGCTGTGGAGGGTTTGGGGGAAGACAAAAACCAGGATCCAGCTTCTTCAAAGTCTGGTGCCCTCACTGAGTCATGCCCTCTCCCTCTTGTCCTGGAAATGCTCCCTGGCCCCTCCAACACCACCTGTCCAAGCTCTTTGCTGGTGCTTCTCCCCAGCCTTCCCCCTGTCCCAGCTCACATCCTTGTCCTGTCCTTAAAGCCTTTTGGCAATCCAATGCCATTGAGGATATCCAAATTAACAAGACTGCAGCCTCAGCTTCACCCAGATAGGTGCTGAAAGCTTCCTACACTTTATTACCAGTGCCATAAATCATATTCCTTCACTTTCCAGTCCATGTCTCCCCAGCTGGGGAGAAGACAAGGCTTATGGCAAGGCTCGTAGCTTGACAGTGCCTCAAATGCAGCATCACTGCTGGCACTCTGGAGGCTACACTGTCAGCTCTTGTCCTTGTTATTGTAAGTCTTGGTCTATGTGGTGTTTGCCACACAGCCCTGTGCCTTACCAGAGTGAACCATATGTGCAATGTGGTTCTCATTTCACACCAAGTAGCCTAAGTTGCTGGGCTTTCCCATTTCCCAGTCTGAAAAAGGTCTGTCAAGTGTGACCTGCAGACTTGGAAATGAGATTGTAAAACAAATCCAAAACTTCAGAAGGTTTGGACTTTTGGCATGAGCAAGGTCAATGTTAAGATACATGTGCAGTGTGTGGCTTAAATACCAGTGGGGTTCCTGTGTGCCTGCTCTCTTTGTCCAGCTGCACCTCCAGCTCGTGGCCTCAGGTACTTCTCACAGAAATTACAAACTATGAAATGAACAAATTAAAGTAGAAAAGCAGCAGCCTGAGGTAGATGCCTGGCAGAGTAAGAAGTATGTGCAGGGGAAGTTGGAAGGCTTAGCACAAAGTTTATTTGGCAACTTGTTTTGCTATCCTTTGTTTTGAGCTGCCTTGCATCTTATTGTGACTGACGATTGTTAATGCTCTTACTTGTTACTAAGAGTGGGCACTGCCTTGTGTTCTCTAAGAAGAATAACTACAAGAGGTGCCAACAATGTGTTTTCCCCTCTTTCCAAAGAGGAGAATCTTCCACATCTTTAAATGGTATTGGGGATCCTCTCATACCCCACAGCACACAGCAGTGCCTGGCATTGCACAGCCTCTGCTGCTGAGAGCTGGTGGTGAGTGCTGGTGCCCCTTGGCTTGACTGGTTGGAACCTTTTGAAGGGGCTGCAGGCAGGTCCCAGAAGGGTTAGACAGAGCTTTGCATCAAAGGCCACACTGGTTTCAGTTACAAACCCCTTTTTTCCAATCCCTACAGGTGAGTTTCCTGAGGAAGATATTGAATTCCTTGTAGCCAGGGGCCATCAGGTGGATAAAGTCCCAGTGGTGGCCCTAGTTCATGGGGCCAGGAGAACCAACAGCTTCATCATTGGCCTGAAGGACCCCAGGAGTGTGGATGCTGCTGGAGCCACAATATTGTAGCACCTGGCAGGTGATGTGTTCTCTGAGTAAGGCTGAGACAGACCAACTCAAGGGATGTGCATGTTCTGAGGTGGCTCCTTCTCCAGCCCCAGGGAGAGCCCCACACACTGCTGAGCAGACATTCCCCACCCCAACGGCACCAGAGGAGTCAGCAGCACCGACACACAACTCCCTGATTCTGCTTTTTTCCTTTTCAATGATTGGGATTGCAGTCCTTGCTGCAGGAA